ACGTTGTAGTGGTGGGTGGGGGGTGGGTCACTTTAAAAAAAACCTCTCATCACGAGGCCTAACGACATGACATCACGATTAAAGTCTCCTCAACTATCTTTGAAAAAACATTCCAAGCTTCCCGCCCAATGTGGTAGGGAAAAGATCGTCCGAAACAAGAAGAAACAGAGCAAACTGACAGATTTCGGAGATGACAAGCTTGTGTTTTTTTTGTCATGCAGACGACTTTTTAGTGACGCAGGTAAACATAGTAACAACACCTGTAATGTAGGTCTAAATACCTTTAATTGCGCCTTCCTTGTTCTAATGGTAATCATGTAAGACCACATTATCAGTTAGCCCCATAGTGTGACAAGTGGTGTGAATAACTGCTTTCAACTGGTGGGAAAATCCTGCATGTACGTGCAGTAAGTTTTATCAGATGAAAATCATTGAAACTAGTGACAATAGGGTGTCAGGATTGCCAGACAAAAGAGGAAGTCTTACTTAAATAGATATGGTAGTCTTCCTTGATTTCCTACTACTTTGCATTATTAATTACTAGTACATTATCATTGAGTACAATCTTGACATTATTACCATTACCAACAATGCTTAGTTTTTTCACTGATGGAAAAAAACAACACAGTTAGAGGCCCAAATGACTGGCATTTACCATGAGCAACACATAACGGTAGAACAGAACTGAATGAAGGAACAAAACCAAAGATCTGGCAAATGATAACCATTGCCTTGTATTGTAATAAGATTTTATCATTAGTTAATCTTTAGTAGCAGATATAGATCAGCATCATTGAATGATAGTACATGTAGAAAACACTATTGCTGTTGACTGTATATAAACAATTTTAGATTGTTGTCACCAGAATAAGAGAATTATATAACAACAAGTGTATCATTTACATCTGGCAGATTCAGATCAGCTGTGAAACTAGATAGGCATGACCAGTAGTCATGTGTATTGCAAACTGTCAAGGTCTTTCTCCATGTCAAAGTTTTGCCATATTTCATATTATTGCTTGTGATATAATAAGCTAGCAATGTAATATTTGCACAACCCATGAGGCGGCATGCCGGTATACTTTGTGTCAATCATTACATGATTACTAGTATTTGGTAGCTATCCACATAATCTTGTGCAAATATAGAAGTACGTCACACCACATCCAGGCTTCCGGGTAACAGATAAGCTGACTAAGTAAAAGTCCCTCTCATAACCGTATAAAACTAGTTGTAAACGTCTACTTTTTCCCTAGTTCCAAAATACTGCTCATTTGGATCCCAAAGGATTCCCAATAGGTCACTACTTACTTACAGAATTGGCACTGCAATGCCCTTCCCTAAAAAGACGTTGACACGTCAGACACAAAATCTGGACTGCATTTAAATGTTGTATTACTATAAAAATCAGCAGTATAAACAAGATATCTAGATATGCTTACTATTTAGGACAAGTCACAACATGGAATAAACAAGTAGTGGCATGCACCCTGTACTGAATGTTATAATAGTCTGGTGTTGACATTCTACGCAGGCTCTGCCACATGTTAATGTTTGGACTGTTGTCAATTACCATGCCATAATAACCAAGTACAGATGTGGAATGCCAAATGTTTGGGGAGGCACTTACACTGGAGCTTGTCTTTTCCTAATACTTACAATCTTTTCTTAAAAATTGAGTCCATTTCTTAACTGACAGTAGTAGTAATGCTATTATTACATAGTAGACCAGAATTTCAAAAGATATAATCTTATTGGGGGAGTGAGGAAGGATGAGACATTGGTGGCATGAAGGCACCCTAGGTGGCAGAGGTCAATAAGGATAGGGGCGGTGAAGTCATCATGATAGGATCAAGTACCCTAGGGGGTCCCCACCTAAGAAGTAGGTGTCAAAGCTCACATCTCTATAATATATTAAGACAGTATAGTAGGCAGTGAACCTTGGTGGCAGTTGGGCAGACAGGTAAACATATTAGGGAGGGTATGTTTCTCATTAGACTATCCCACATACAAACAGCCAAAGAAGCATAAACAGAACTCACTGTCAGAAGCATACAAACATTCAAACATTGACCATACAAATTGAAATGCCTGTTTTGGTGGTGGTATGCATGCATGTGTGGGTAATGTGACCAGGTGACTGATGTAGGGGGTGAAGTTCCCCAGGGCTGCTGCATACCTTGAAATCACTATTGTGTTATTGGTTACATTTCAGTGCAGCCTTGTTTCTTTGCACCTTAGTGTACACACAAAAATGTGTGGAGTTCAGCATATTGTGTACCCATGATGAAGCAAATGATTCCAGAAGCTCTAAAAATACTAGAAGACATGTTATGTAACGTAATAAGATTTCATTGTCTTGTACATGCATGAGCCCTTTCAGTGTCTGGAGTCAGTAAAAAGTCTGTCAGTATAATCATTTCAACCATATTAGCAGCATGATCATGTGTTGTCTGTGTTTTAAACATTGCTACTTGAACATATACTTGTTAATGTACATTGGAGCAATGGCTATTATACTCACTGCTATATGGTTTGCCATACTCAAACAGGAACCTAATGAAGTCAAAGTGCACAATCAAGAGAAACATTTGCAAGTCATAAGGTGGAAAGTACCATTTCTAGTAGTGCCAAATTTGTCATGAGCTGTCAGCTCCTTGCTGCCAAAAGGCTGCTTGATGACAAGAATGGGGCCAGTCTGACATGAAACATTCACCATGGCTTGTAATGGTCTGTAGGGAGTCCATTCTCGGTTTTTATTTACAGAAATTCTCAGAAAATTCCAGCTAACTAAAAGTAATAGATGCCTTGGCATGGGATAAGTTGGAAGGATGCCTAACCCAAGTAGGTGATACACGTGACTGCTCAATGCTGCAGATCAGAACCTTTAAAGGCATACACAGCAGTAGTACATAGTGATTAACCTAAGTCGAATCGATTCCTCAGTAAGTACCCTTGTGAGGCCAGGGTTGTGAAGGGGAGGCAAGGGCCTGCTGTGTAAATGTTGCAGCCAGGTATGTAACTGTAACAACAGGTTGCCTCCAGCCCTTTTTTATCAGGTGACCCATCATGTAGGCTGTAGAATACTAGTAGTAGTACCTGTGTATTCACTGGAGAAAGGTTTACCAAGCAGTGAACTATGGACTGTAACACTGTTAGTGTTACTGATCTAGCCTAGTCTTGATACCAAAAGATACCATGATAAAGAGATATAATGTAAAACATCTAACCATTAGTCATGATCTTGTGTGTGCTATTTAATGACCTACATCACTCCTTGTGTACATACAATTATACAATCAAAATCTTTTTCTAGCACCATCCACATAGCCTCAGATGATGAACTAGATACGTATAGTTTGACCTTGTTAGCAACATCATGTGAGCTGCTAACTCGATGCCAAAGATATGTCATGTATTTAAAAGGAAGGCCAAGACAGCCAAGTAAATCAAAGAGTGACCATAGCAGACATGCCTTCCATGATGTTATAAGATACAAAGGATGATAATTGTCTTTTCTTTCTGACTCAGTGTGAAAGATGCAAGGGACGAACTTGATGAATTCCAGGAAGAAAGTAGAGAGCTGGAGGCTGAGTTGGAAGCACAACTGGAACAGGTAGAAGGGAAGAACAGAGACCTGCAGAACTCCTGTCAACGACTGCAGATGGAAGTAGAGTCATTAAAGGTAAGTTTTGTGATGTTCAATTCTTAGTAATACACTGTAGTACAACTTGTTACACAGATTATGCCAGCCATATAGAATATTTGTCATTACTTAATGGCCTCTTTCTATTGGTTGCCTTTTTAAACATAAATGGTAAGTGTATGTTGTAACTGTATTCTCTATCTGTGAAGCATAACATGCTCATATCCTATGTCGTTAGGACAACTGATTACGTAAAACACATCACACATAAGTTGTTTAACCCCAATAGCTTTCCATAAAAAGGTACCTGTCTCTATTTCAGGCACTTGAGGTACATGATGGACATGGTCTACTTACCACCATTGTGTTAATGAAATTTTATACGTTCGTCATTCACCAGCTTTGTGGACACCAGAAAATGCTTTTTGTCTACTCTGTCCCAACTGAAACACTTAACCATTGACAGAATGTTTTGAAACCAGAGGATTTGTCATTGTAGAAAGTCTTTCCTTGGTAATTTGTTTCCGATGATGTTTGCTGGTGGTAGCTATAAGCAAATTATGTGCCCCCCTCCCCACATTTTCAATACAGTAGCAGACTGCAGGCATAGTACTATATACTAGTAATTTGAGTCACACCTAAAAGCCTGCTCTTAAGAGGTCGATATCAAACCCTTTGACACAGAAATGTTGTACTTTTTAACTATAGCCATATTTGTGGGTGATAAACTTGCGTGAGCTAAAAAGCCAATAAGATCACGCCCCCTTGGAAGTGACGTAATGTTTGCTTTCAGGAGCTGGTATGTTATATATACACTTTGACATGATGTAATGTGCATATATAAGTTTCACGCCCCCCCATGTCAGCTTGTCAGTGCACATGTTTGCCCAATATTGTTTCACATGGCGACCATGTTTTAACTATTCGGGATAACTTGGTACAATGGATGTGAAGATGGAAGTTGACAAGCAGAATTTAATATATATATAACCTATGAATACTAAATAGACCTGAAGTTTACTAGTGTTTTCAAATTATGTACTTGAAGTCACTTTATCAAGATCTTTAGAATAGATAATGGTCCCTAAGGAATGGATTCTTTTCATCCTGAAAATAGCAACATTAAGTTTTAACGTAAATATCTGATAAGGTTGCTTGAATATTTTAACAAACAACATTTCATGGTACCAAAACTAAGTTCTATATTTAAGCCAAGAGTCCTCTATTTCTTGTATGAACCACCCATTGTTAACTTAAAAGTAAAATGATATTAGTATAGATGTTCTTATGCTTGTCATCTTTTGTGGCCTATCTTTGTATGACATATAACATTTTTCTCCTCAGGAAAAGCTTGAAATCTGTCAGAGAGAAAGCCACCAGCAGATCACACAGTTACAGGACGATCTGGCACAGACGGTGGGCATGAAGGAAGAAATGGCCAAGTACATACGGGAGCTGGAACAGATCAATGACGATCTGGAGAGAGCCAAAAGAGCAACTGTTGTATCTCTAGAGGAATTTGATGGAAGATTAAATCAGGTCGGTAAATGTAATAATTTATCATGGTCAATACTGATTGATGTTGTAAAGATAGGGTTTACATAAAAATGTAGAATTACATAATTGAAAGCATCATGTAGTCAGATTTTTAAGAATATGTACATGTACGTTTTAATTTATCTACTCAACAGTAGATTATTATGTAAAATACATACTTTCAATGCAACCTTTGGAAAGTGTTCCTGCAGCTTCAAATAAAGGTACTCTGCCAAAGCAAATAAGCATCAAAGAGTCTGTCAGTGAAATATTACACCTGTCAGCTTCCTTTCAATTTGCTGCCAAGTTGTGCTTGCCAGCCTGGGCAAATTGATTCTGCCGTGCAAAGTTGCACAAAATTAATGCTAAGCTCATTTATTATGGATGAGGGGATCAGACCTCCTACTGTGAGTTGTGTGGAAGGTAAACAATATTTTGGATTTTGCCCTTGGCCAGAACATACTTCTTGATTAAATTGGACAACTGTAATATTTCTAGTATGCATACAAATGTGGTTCTGCTGTTTTCTGATTGTCATTTTGTATATGAGTGATGTTTGATTAGCAACTTGTTTCAAGGCGTTAGACAAAATGCAACCTAAGTGACAGTATTATGTGATGTATTGATTTTGGAAACTAAATTGAACATCTACTGATCTACACGAGAAGGGATCATTTGTCTGGGCTAGACAATATTGTCTGTGGCTGAAAAATGAATATCATTCATTAGGACACTTTTGTCAACAACGTGTGTTACTGGTTTGTTTTTGTGGTCTTATTTCAGGCAATTGAGAGAAATGCCTTTCTTGAAAGTGAACTTGAAGAGAAGGATCAGCTAATGGAGACGATACAAAGGCTAAAGGATGAAGCCAGAGGTTTGTATCTTTATCCTCAGGATTACTTAGATTAGAAGCTGTAAATTCTTATTTGGTAGCCACAGCTAACTTGGAAGCAATAGCTAACTTACATGCTTTGAAGATTAGAATTTGCATATGCCTAAGCGAGGCCTGTTGCACAGTTGCAAATATTTTATTTATTATTCTGAAGAAATTGTTGTCGGCAATGATTTTTGTAAGGCTAAGAGGGATTCTGAATCTTAAGGTTCAAAAATTGGGTTCCAAGATTTTTACAGTTAACAGTGATGAGAGTTTGTTTTTTAGATAAGGTCCAGCTGTTGACAAGGCAAAGGGTAGAAATTCCCTGACCCACAAAAGTTTGTTTATATTACTTAGACCAGATTTGCTCTATTTGTCCCATTCTAGAGACATCGCAGTTCTGTGAGAAATGTAAACTAAAAGCTGATCAGAGGTGGAAAGATAACTAACAATGATCTGTTTTTTCTCTTGCAGACTTGAGGCTGGAGCTCAACGTACGACCATCACCACTATCGACCAGTAAAGACCAAGCAGGGGAAGATAAAGATGAGGAGAAACCAGACAACGATAAAGTAGAAAGGAGAAGCAGACCAACTCCCATCAGTATGCCAGATAACAGAGCAGTATTGGAGAAGGGCATCAGTACAACGCCTCCAGTTGGCACGCCACCTCCACATAGAGGTAATGTTACCCTGACAGTACAATAAACTTATCTTCATGATCGAGTATTATTTCTATTTTATTCACATAAATTTGTAAGCATTGGACAGAAAATGCGTAATGTGCTTATGAGGATCCTTTGCTCATGAAACATAAAAAACATAAACACAATGTTAAGGTAACAAATACAAAATGTATGAGATGAAAATGTCTGGCACACCAATATAATCCACAATGTTAATGTGATAAATCAAATCTTCCAGACAGTGAAATGAAATTTAACACAATATTGAAGGTATGGCAATTTGTAGAGTAAAGGAGGTCAGGGCTACTGGTAAGGAGTAAAGTGCATAATGCGGTGTCATTTGAGTTTAGTGGGTCAAAGGGGAATATATTTTCAAGGTGTAAACAGGATTCTCTGATATTAGAGATAAATAGAATTGCAATGAATAGATCACATTTGCCACATACAAATACAAAATTGATGCAAGTTGAACATCTTACATTCAGTTCATGACATCAGTTTGTTTTTATATTTTCACCACAGGAAGCTTTTCCCAGATGAACGGTGCTGCTTCAGGTAGCACGCCACTCACGCCGTCCGCTCGCATTTCAGCTCTTAACATCGTAGGAGACCTGCTCAGGAAAGTAGGGGTAAGTCACAATTCACTTACGTTGGAACCAGCTATGGGATATTCAAGCCATGGCATGTATTGTTAGGCCTAGAAAAAATGTTGTGTTTCTTATTTCCTGACCGACCCTAGAAAAAACTGCCGTCCCTAGACTTTTTGTGTGTGGACCCATGCCAAGGACATAATTTTTCGATTGGGTCGACCTTTTCTAGCTTCATGATCTGACACCTGATTGATGAAATGTTGTACAATCGGTTTTCCAACATTGACATTGAATTTGAAAGTGTCCTCATGCAATTTTTATTGTATATGTTGGATCACAAGAGATTGCCAAAGTCTAAATAAAGGAAAAAAAGATAATCCCTCCCTACTGACCCTAATTTTTTTCAGGACTGAAACACAACATTTTTTTTTCCTAGGCCTCAACTCTGTGAGAAGACGGGGTAATGTTTGTCCCAAGACAGCTGGAATTTTAATTCCCTTTAAGGATTTCTGCAAGTTGCTGAATGTTGATTTTCGTTTCTTTCAGGCACTGGAATCTAAGTTGGCGTCATGTAGAAATTTTGTGAAAGAACAGCCAGGAAGGAGTAGTGGTAGCAAGGGGCCAAATTCACCCAGGTAAGTCTAGTTTGTATCTCACTGCTTCTTGCAACTTGTACTAACAACGGCACTTCTCTAACACTCACAAGCCTGGATCACATGTTCTAAGGGTATAAGGTTCAGAGCAGAGATTTATTTGGATCCATTTTGGTGATGGGTTTCCTTCAAGTTGCCTGAATAAATGAACACTTAGTGTAGACAAAAGCTGTGCATGAGGTTACTTTGGGGGCTTTGTGGCAGCAAAAAAACAAAACAAAAAAGTTATGGACCCCCTGCAAGGTGGAAATCTACCCCAGAAATGTACTCGCAAACTTCCCAAGTGCAGGTGTCACAAGGTTACTAGAACAACCATTTTTCAATAGCTCAAAATATGTACTGAAAGTCTGAAGTATTTAAAGATCGAAGAAATGAAGCATGGAATTTCTTTGTTTGCAACATAGCCCAGAAAGTCCAGTCACGCCACGAACAGCCAGGGAGTGGTCAGGACCGACCACCACCACACCAGTTACAGGCCAGCCAAGACCCCAAAACTTGGTCCTTAACAATCCGTCATCAGAATCTCCCAGTCAGTCCCCTGTAAAAAAGACCCCCTCGCCAAATCCCTGGTCATCCCCAAGCCAGTATGTTCCACCACTGGAACATGTGATCCAGATTTTTGAGTGGTAGTTGTTTCCCCGTGCCAAGTCATCCCATCTCTACATCAGCGTGCACGCTTGCATGCTCACGTGCCAAATCACAGTTTGCACTCAGGCAAGTTTTACATCATAAATAGTCACTGGTTGTGGTGGCTGGTATCTGGCTATACTCATGGTTTTTGTGGCGGTGCTGCTTTTTCAAGACTAACTGACTTCTAATATTTACGAGTCATACTTTGCACCACTGTGTAACGTAGTGAAAGAGTCTCAATGTTTGAGACTGGACCACTTGTGAAGGGGGGTGGCCAAAGGAGCAGGATGCGGTGCACGTGGCAGGAGGCATGGTGTTGGCGGTGGCTGGTAGTGGTGGCATGCGCGGTGGCAGTGGCTTTTTGTGTTAGCTGACAATCTGTGTAGAAAATTAGGCTGGTTTTAGACTTCCATGTAGCAGCAACTTAACTAGCAAGCTCACCTTTCTCTACAGCCAATCCAAGACTTGTTTATAAAGTACAAAATTCATGTCCTCTTTGTGTTGTTGGTTAGCTCATATTGTATGATTATCTTTATGAAGCATATAGACTGAAATGTTATATTAGTGAAAATTAATGATACTTTTATCACTTTCCACCATTCATGCAATACCTACATGTTTAAGAAAACAAAGCTAAATTTTTATGGCAAGTGAACTGATTTGTTGTAAATTGTTATATGCAAAAAAAATGCTACACAAAGAATAATTTGCAATAGTTGATAAAGGATTGGCTGGAGTGTGACTGTATAAAAAGGTGAGGCTTCCTCCTAGCCACAGCTTTGTTTGAGTAGTCATGTCATGAGGTTTGTCTGAACTGACACTAGTAGGTGCTAACATGCTGGGTCAAGGTTATACATCTCAAATTCTATCATGCTCTCATTGCATGAATGTGAAATTGCTGGTTATATTTTGAACTTGTAGTACAATCATGTATTTGACTATCCATCCCTTTTCTTGATCATTATAAGCTTGAATCATTGAGGTTTTGTGAAAGCTTAAAAATTTCAGCAAAGTCTTCCTCAAATTGAGCCGTGTTCATGTTCTTTACTTTCCAGGAGAAGAAACATAATGTTTTTATAGAGCCCAGCAGACACTACATACAGGTGATTGTCTAGCCTGTTTTCTGCCAATCGTAGTAGCTGGAATGTCAGCATAGTGCAGTGCACTGCTCTGGTGTCAGTTCAGACCTATGTACTTGGTGGTGGTGGAATATTGTGCTGTTGGTGCATTGGAGATTGTGTACTAGTTCCTATTAGCATTGCAGATGATGCTATTAGCTAGCTATACGCTATGCAGTTTGTTATGCTTGTGAAATCATGTGTTCCCAAGACATCCACCACTTCATCATAACTGCTTATAGACTCAATGCAGTATCTGTTTTTCTTCTTTCTGTATTTTGTCAGAGTTTTCCACAGTCATTTAAAAGCATGGAGGGGAAGGAGATATTGGCAGGAACAACAAGTTCTCAACACTGTAGTTAAAACTGTCATTGAAAAAAATCATTCATCCTCTAGTTTGGTTTAGCGTTTCACTTAGGGCATGGCAAGGCAAAATGCACCATCTTGTCCACATAGATGCTATAGATATTCACAGTCCAATGTTGCTCCACACCATCCCCACTAGTGCTGCATAACGATTCACTGGACTTGGATCCAAACTTGTATGGGTTCAAGTCCAAAAAAACCTAAAAGTCAAGAACCGAGTCCTTAACGGACTTATTACCATAAAAGACCATTTCATATACTGTAAGTCTCTTTAGATTCGCGGGGCCTAAAGTTCGCGGTTTCGGGAAAATGGACAATCCGCGGTATTTTTAGATTCGCGATTTCTCCTTGGCTATTTTTCAAAGAAAAATTTGTAAAGTGTATATTTAAAATAATAAAAGTTCGTGTTCCGGCATTTATATCCTAAAACGCGGCGCAAAAATTTGTTTCGTGCACCGCGCGAGACTGCCGGCGGTATAGCTGACGATCGATCTGACGCACGTGTAAACAATTTTCTTTGTTCGGAAATAAGCGCTAAAAAGCTATTTTCCACGACTACACATCGATACTCTAGTGAAGAAATGCATAATCGAAAGAATCTTTCGGGAAAATATATATTACTAAGAATATTTATGCCGTCTTCGGCGAGATTTTGAACCCGAAAGTATGCAAAGGTCGCCTACGGTTTTGTAGCGGCCCACGGTAGCGTTTCTATCCAGCAAAACAAGAAGAAAAAAAACGCCCGCAAAGCAGGGCGCAAAAGAGAACCAACTAACACTTCCCAGGTACCAGCAGTTATATTTTTCATCAAAATATTTGTAGATTTGCCCGCAATTTTCAAGCGTCCGGGCGCGCATGGCCGGCGCTCAGCACACAGAGATTTTTGTCCGGCGGTGCACGTTTGACACGGCCAGTGCCGCAGTATCACGATTCGGTGTCTCATAATATTATAATTTTTTGACATCAGTATAACTTAAAAAAAATTTTGATACTCAACATACGTACATTTGCTAAGAATGGAGTTGATTTGCAGTGATTTGTGTTTGTCGCGTGTGTTTGTGTTTCACTTACCGTCGTGAATGCATGTGGGGAGGGGGGCGCACTTACGCAAAACATTTTCGCGGGGAAATAGATTCGCGGTACAAAGGTCCCCGCGAATTCCGCGAATCTAAATATACCGCGGAAATTTGTAGACTTACAGTACCCTTTTCTTTCCAAACCACTTAAAACCTTCCATAGATTACAAAGTCTTTGCTGCAAAATGAAGAAAACATTATATTGCCATCGGGCATCGTCAAGTACCGGCCTCCATGTGGCCAAAGTTTCACCCAGACAACATGGCAAGGTTGCCAACATGCACTTTTGTATATGCCATGGGTTTAGGTCGAGACTTACAAGTCCGGAACTGAACCTAAACCTAGATGGACTTGAATCTGGACCTGAACCTAAATGTGGGTTTAGGTATGCAGCACTAATGCCCACCTCCACGCTTTGTTTGAAAGACTGTGGGAATCCCTGAGCCGGGTGTTGTCTGGCCCCCACAGTCAGCCGACTGGCCCCTCCCCCTCCCGGCCATCAGACAACATCCTCCTGCCTCTGTGTTCTGTCCTTTCCTGCTGTGAGACCTCTCTGGTTCAGGCCATAAACTCCATCAAACATGACTCTCCCGACAGAAAGGTCCAGTCTCCACCTCCCTTACCTTCTGACGCATGGCACCTTCAGTTGCTGGATGCACTGGAATGATGTTATTGAGACTTGTCACCAATAACACCTTTTTTTCTTAGTTTTGCTAATTAGCTAGAAGCCCAAAGTATGACACCTGTATTGTGATGTACGGCATTTAATGATAAAGGTACAATACATTTCTGTAAACTCTTTTAACGAAAACTGGAGGTTTGCTGTTCAAATTGCAATTAAATTTATAAACAGAATTTTTCATGTTTTCAGTACGAGTTGGATTTCCTTTCTACCACATGTACAAATTAAAATCTGAACAAACCATAGATTTTTTTTCTTCATTCTCATCAACTATCTTTGCTGCATATTCTTCACTCACCAAGATGACATTATAGGGATATTAGTGTAACAAAGCTAATGTGGATTTCTATAGTGCATTTACATTTATCTGAAGGCTGCACATGCTTTAGTACTGATCATTTTTTCTGAGATTTGAACTACTAGTGTCTGTTGCTGTCTACCTTTCACTCTAGTTCTCCATCTAACCCTGCATAAATCAGAACCTAAGTACTATTTACTAGATATGGGAAGAACTTACCAAACTGATATATAATCCTACATGTTGAGACAAAAGCTTTCAAACATACTCCTGCAAATCTAAAATATTGTCTCTGTCGTACGTAACTGTGTAGTATTACACAGTAGTAGGCTAATTGTACCATTTCACAAATTTTCTGGATGTAAATGTGATGGCTGAAATTAAAACTTGCCCCCTATTTTATAATCCAGCTGAAGTTTTTACAATACTGAAACATGACTGTAGCATAGCTAGAGGCAAGATTCGAAACATTCTAATTGCCATTCAAAGTCTGGAATGAAAAGAAGTTTGCCAGAATGAAATCACTCGACATGTATTAGCGCCTTTCCAGCAGTCATCAATTCTTGCGTAGATTTTAGACACATCTAGAAACATCTAGGCCACACGATTTTGATACTTTGGTTTTGTTTGTTTACACTTTCTAAATGGAGAAAGACTGCTTTTCCCCAGAAAATCTGAGAAACAAGGAACTAGATTAGTTTCCTCTGTAGTGATATATATATATTGTGGTAAAGTAGTGGTTACATAGCAGGAAAGGAGAGAAACCTTAGTGCAGGGGGAATGAAGTGAGGTGAGCTGTAAGGTCGTAACATGTAAGTACACTGAAAAAAGTTGCATCGTTTGTATGCAGTTGTATCCCTCATTGTTGGCTGCTTTACATGTGCTTACCCATGTACAGTGCCAGTTGACTGCTACATTCTTTTGTTCTAACAATGTTCCGACAAATCTAACTACCACAGGCGTATTACTGATGTACAATGATGCTCTGTTGTTTGCATGAAACATCATACTGTACAGCATGTCAACATAATGCTGCAACATGTTGATTAAGCTGCCTGTTGTGTGTTGTACAGTTATTGTTGCTCCTTACAAGATATAAAAAGTGTTTTCATACATGTATGTACAATGTAATTTTGCCAGTAATGTATTAACATATAGACCAGTACCAAATCTAAACATTTTCACATCATAAGAAATCACCATGTCTTGCAAGATGTTAGCAACCTACAGTACATCTCTAACCTCCCTTACAAGACCCTTATTCACGATCATGCCATCTCCTTTTTGCTCATCTCTGAAGGCGGCTGAGAGTGACTGATCTTTGACCACTCTGGGACTAACACAATCATGGTAAAGTCCACTTGGCTTGGTTGTTTTGCACAACCAATTCACTAAAACCTACTAACATTCCTCATACTATAGTTCCCCTTTCGTAATCCACTCCTCAAGTGATAGGTCTGTTCTATTTCCTTCTTCCCTATTGTAACCTTAATTGACTTCTCTTCTATTTAAACTGCTAATTCTGCAATCAGTTTACTGTTTTCCTATAGAAGCTGTGCTGGCACTTATACCTTCTGTCTGCTTGTCTATATGTAGCTGTAGCCACAATAGAACTAACTCCTATACACACCTCTTACTAACTAACCAACATAACATATCTTCTCACTCCACATCAGTTGTGGAATAAGTCAAGATGATAAAATAGATAGAATAGTAGACTATTACTTGTAGTAGCATAATTGTACTGAAGAAGAAGAGTGCTGTGGAAGTGGTTAGTATCTAAACCAGAGCTCAAGAATAGTGGGCCCACATCTACATGTAATTCATGGCAACTGGAGGAGGAAGGTCTTAGGAATTAACAGCCCCCTGGTCCTCCTTTTTGCAGTTTTCAGCCACACTGTTCATTTTAATCTTAGTGAAAACCCATCACTTTTACCTGTTAAATCTATAACTCCTAAATCTTCTACCTGGCCTTTATGATACCTCTTTTTCTGATCATGCAACATTCATCCATCATACAAAACATCATACAAAGTCAAAACAAATAGTTTAACTTAAGATCTCGATTAATCTGCTTCCCTCCCCATGTGTGTGTTTGTGTAACATCTTATGTGATTAACCCTTTTAGCAGTGCTACTCATTACCCCCCTCTCTCCCCTTATACAAGCGTACATGCATGGAAATCCTCCAGGCATTCGTCTCTGCATGTCAGACTGGCACTTGCAGGTACATTTTACGTGTTTGCCATCAGTTGGTCCACATGTTCATGTTGCCAAGTCAAGACTACATCAGGGCTATTCCATTCTAACCACCTGTTGTTAACCATCTGTCATTTTGGTTAGTGAATAAAGCCAAAGCAGAGAGAAGGGTTTTGTAAAACATAAATTTTTCAGGTTCTCCTTTTTGACTCAATATAACTCTTTAAACTTTTAACTTCACTCCTTTTTGGTGGCCTTGTCCATTATATGAGATTCACTGTCAAATCTGTCCCTGTAAACTTATGCACTGGAATAGCCCTTACTGAAATGTTAAAGAGATAATTGTGTTTTTCTTATGTGATGCCCTGTTAATTCAGTCTTTGTCTTGTTCTGAACACATTGGTTTTCCATTTTGTAAACTGTTTGCTGCAGAAATACATGTAAGCCTCCAAAAATAATTGCTGTAAAATTTGCTAGAGCTATGTTCAGAAGTGTATGAATATTAACAGTTTCTTAGTACATTTGTACATGTTTAAAATTTGATACTTGCCATGTCATGTGCATGTCCATTTTTTGTCCTCCTATGTATAAAATCTTAAGTGCATTGTACAAGTTGGCTTATAGTCTAATATGTATGATATACTGCAACTGTTATGTTGTCACTTTATTTTTTATTTCATCAACTTACTTTTTGTTGCAAGTCCTTGGTTTCTGTTGCGTATTGTCTTACACATGTAATGCATGCCAACACTTTCAGTTCCCATGTTAAAAGCTTCAGTCTGTTAATGCATGGCTTAGCTGTAAGGGAATATGATATTTTTGTTGTGTCAGTACCTTATGTATGCACTTGTAGCATGTACTAGTATTCTTCTTTTACCCTATGTGTTTTGTAAAACAATTTTTCATTTTTTTTATGGTTGCACTATGTCTAATTGCTAATTTTATGCTTTGTTTCAAAGTATGAGCAGAAAAACTAACAACAGTGTCTCTTGTTCAGCACACGCTTCTTTGTCACTGGTTTTTGTTTTGCATGTTTTCATGATTGTTAATTTAAGATGATCAATATGAGATGAAAGTATACTTCAATTTGTGAACCTATTCATTGGTTTCACTTCTCGTGCATTGTAATGAGGCAATATTTCGTTTTTTATTATCAGGCAAATCTAGAAATGAGTTATTGGCATTTGTGTAAGATTGAAGACTTGTCATCCACAAAAATGTAGATCGAAATATTGATTTGAAAATGCTGCCAAAAATACAGCATTTCTGTCAGTAAATCCAGACAGAGGGCTGTCGGCAATGGGAGAATGTAAAAGAATTCTGTATTCATCGTTAAATGTTTTCTCTTTCCAGGGCCAAGCGACTGAACCGAGGGTCAGTGTCATCCCCGAACTCACAGGGCCTGGTGAAGATCACAGTGTGACGCAAGATGCAGTCACCGACCCGAAGAATTTCTACCAAATAGCTTTCTAGCCATTTTCTTACTTACATTTAATACAGGCCTGGGTTACTTGCTTTTATGACTTTGTAACAAGTTATATCCTTTAGCAGAATGCCTCCAGTGGTCATCTGTGCCTATTTCTGGTACTAAACACAATGAAGCAAAGTATTTCTTTCAAAATGCCTACCCTGTGCCAGCTTTTAGGTAGACAGATGGTCCTTACTTCTCTCAGTTGCCAGGAGAAAAGTCAGCATTGAAATAGTTGAGCTCCCATCACAATGGTAAAAGGTATTGCCTAATCTGGGTGATGTAAATACAAGAAGCCCTGCCAAGGCAAGAGTGCCCTAAACTTGTCAATGTGCCATTCAGCAGGGAGGCTATTATACATTTCTCTGATTTGTGGGGGAGGACTATACATTACTGCATGAACCCAAAGATTGGAGGGAACGTGCAGCATTGCTTCGTAACACTAATTAAGCCAGGTTTATATGAAGAAGCCCATCTGGCATTTAGAAGTTCAAGACATTCAAATTCGCATCCTAAGAGCTGTCTTCAAAGGTCTTCACTTTCTTTTGGAAACATTATGAGGAAAGTTTTTTTGAAAGTATGTTACATGGTTCTGTTCCTCACAAAGCATAATAGGTAGCATACTGTTCTTGCCAAAAGAAATAGGCATTTATGACTAGTTTGACCCAAAGCACCATCTGGCATGTATCAAGGCTGATGTAGTCATACCCCATATTGATCAGGGCAGCCAGATGGCTAACAAGTCGTATATTGTAGACCAAGCATTTACACTATGTGAGAAACCCAATAACATGTCAAGTACTCATGTGTTTGGAGAGCGTTTCAGTTTGTAGTAGCTGGACTGGAAAGGAAAAAAGGCAGATGACCAAATATGACCCGTATTTTATTTAATACAAAATTGCCAGAATTTCAAGAAGAAAGGAAATGTTGTGCAGAGTTCGTATAAGTTTGAAGTATTTATTTTGATAATCGTAACATTATCCTGTTAAAAAAACTTAAATGTAACAAAATGGAATATCATGGAACTATGTAAGGTTTCCATGTAAGCTGGAAGATATGCAGCTAAGCGTAAAGTATGATATCTCGTATCTTATATTTATTTCTAATTCCTTGTTCGAGTTACTATTATACTTGTGTGCTGATGTGAATGTTATCTGAGAAAATGGTGTACTTGGAATTATAGTATATTGTTCTGTGTATAATAGATTGTAATTGATGTCTGTTTTTCCTCCTCATAAAAAAAGTGGCAAAATGCAATTCCACCACCTCCACTTTGCAATATGGTATCAGAGTGTTTGTTGATTTGTTTGTTTTCTCTATCCATATTCACCACTTCAGTGCACACATATACATATATGTATCTTAAAGACATTGTCAATTCTATAGCACTAAAAAGGATTCCTTCTTGGGTATACATATGTGTGCAATGAAAAGGTCACATTGTCTTTCTATTATTATATTAAATGCACAACAAATGTGATAAGGTCAGCCCTTGTTCTTACTGTGTAACTTGGAAGAAAAATCTTATCAAAGGTCCTTTTATTCAGGGTCAACAGCACTTTTGAATGCCCACTGTTTGGAAAGAAGTTGAGTGTGCTGGTGCTATGGCAATGTGTAAGAAGTATATGCGTGTACATGTATGTGCCTGCACATGTGCTCTTTGGGATATACTTTGTGTATCAAACCTCAACGTACACGTAAGTAATTTTATGATTTATCACGAATTGACAACAGTCATGATTTTTTTTCATGTTCAATTGCAAAGAAACATGGATGCCTGACTAGAATTGTTAAATCAAAACAGGGTGAATCAAGGTAGAAAGTTGATTACAAAAACCAGTGTGGTTGGATATTTTAGTTAGGTTTCCAATTGTAAAAGGTATCACCAGTTTTTAGCTAGAATGAGTATCTACTTACTACATGTCATGTATTCTGAGACTCCTTGAAGGCAGAAATATTTGGAGTGATGCAAATTTTCGTTTTGAGAGAAAAAGACTTGTGGATAAGACAGAGAAAGGGCATTGTAGGCATCGTCCCTTTGAATGTATAGTTTAGCTGTTCTCATGACAGCTATAAAACTGCCATTTGGTTGATACTTATGGGTTTATAAAGTAACTGGTGGAAGAAGGGTGAAACATATGGCATGTAAATGTTATTGAAGCATTGGATTGTAAAAGGAGAAGACACATTGTGCATACTATGATCAGCAAAGTAGCTATCACTCATCTCAGTTTATAACTGGTGATACTTGAACTGTAACACTTCCTCGTAATTAGACCTTTGTGAATAATTGTTATGATTTTTTTGAGTGTTCAGATCATGCAAGTTGTGTTTTATAATGAATGACAGAAATGTCCATGTTTCCGCCCACCACGATGTGTGGTTTTCTACAGTATATGAGATGTTTGTGAATAATACAGAGTATTTTGTCCTGAGTGATTGAATATTTTATACTGTATATAATTACTTGTTAGGTATTATTGCTATGGACTAAAATACTTGTGCTGAACAACAATCTAGTACTCCTAATTGTATAGTTGTGACTAGTTTTAGGTAAGAAGTTCTGTTATTTGAAAGTGCTGGAAAGGATCTAGCTGTGACTTGTTTAGTTAAGATCTTACAAGAAAAAGGGCCAAAGTCACTAATGAATTGACGAATGTTAAAAGTTTGCATATAAGGCCACACCAATTTAATTTGTTGGTTCTCGGATTCGCCTCTTCGTTTTTTTCTGATTTGCAAAAAAAAAAAAATTGATTCTGGTCCTGAATCAACTGAAAAATGCTCATGTTTTGCCCTCAACAGTTGAGGAAAGTCCTTTTCTTCCTAGTTGTTACAGTTTTCCCATCTATCATTGCAGTGGTTTGATTAAAAGTTCAAAATTCAATGTTTAAATTTTAACCCAGCCTTTTGTGTTGACTTCATGGCTCATTCCATAGCATTTAAGCCTATAATAGGATGCCTAGACCTGTTTTTATTTTTATTTTTTTTCGCCCTGTCGCTTCATATTTTTTCTGAAAAAATCCGAGAACCAACAAATTAAATTGGTGTGGCCTAATGTGTGGGTTATGTATGTATGTATGTGAATGCATATTACTGTTGCCTTTCAATATGTTTTGTAACTCCTTTGTGCCTCTCCTACCACGAACACCAACCATACATTTTAGGAACACCAAGTGTTAAAAAATATCTGGTGATAAACATGCCCACAACAAATTAAAACATTTTTTTCGGATGAAGACAATCACCTAGAAACGTAAATATTCAAACCATTCTGTTTTTCAACCAAATGTCCATACTGGTCCAATTCTGTTGTACTGATTGCTATTGAATCAGCTCTTCACTCCAACATTGCAGACCCTTCAAACAAGGTGACACTGAGCTTAAAATATTAGACAGCCAAAAAGCTGTCCTCCACCCAGTAATTCATTATACCAGTAGTGTTTTATAGCATTTTAGTGTCTGTTACAAATTTGGGGCTCAAGAAGTCCAGTATTTGTCAAAAATGATCTTTCTACCCAATCGTGGTCTTGTAAATGAAAGAAGTTGAGTAGTGTTTATTCATGGCTGTACAAAATGTGTGGATGTATTTGTCATTCATGTTAATGTTACTGTAAATAAAAAACATTATTGCGACTTCTGTCTTGTATTTTCTTTCGTCTTAGAAAGAAGTGTCCTCGATACGATTGTTCAACAGGTTTTTGGCAATCTTGCTAGTAGCATATCAGTACGTGTTGTACATTGTATTCTGTCACACTGAACCCAATCTAGTTGCCTGTTACCAATAGATGAACAGGGGTGTTATACACAAAACAAACTGTCTTCAGTCTACAATGTCTTAGCAACTGTTTATTAGTTGGCATAGTTCCAAGGGTACCTATCTGAATGTAAGTACATGCACATATCAAAGTCATTGGAAAATAACATTGTATAGATGTTACAAGAAAATTCAGGAATGTTTCAGTTTTCTTATTTTTATTTGTATAATTCCTTAGTTTTTTTGTACGGGTATATTTCTTATTTTTCATTCATATTCCTTAGTTTTCAATACAGCAGGCTTTTTCATGTACCCATGGACTGTATCATAACTGTCATTTCTATAAACGGTTTTAACTTGTATGTAACTAGACAAAATAGTCCTCTATTTCACAATTGGATTTCATAGTAGCCCCTGTGAAGTGAAGTCATGTGTAGTATCCCCTGCCCTGTTGAGCTGGATCTCCTGTGAGATGAGTGACACCTCCTGGGTCATGATGCTCTCTGCTGCAGCGACCAGCTCCTCCATCCTGTATTCACACACAGGACAACTATTTTATCAAGTCAAAAATATTGGCAAGCATGAACAAATGGAGAGTGCACAGTCATAGTGTTTTGCAATGGTTTAGAAGGATTAGATTAGTTTATTTGACCATATGGACCAAAACTGGCTAGTGGCTTGTGAGCTGTCTTACTTCACACTTTGCACTCTATTCTCAAATAGTATTATCTGTCTATAAAATCAGTGGACTATATCTTACATGAATGCTTATAAACTCTAATTAAATTCAGAGATTTGCTTTACTCCAAGCGAGTGGAAAGTTCAAATTTTGTGAGCAGCGAGGCAGAAAAACTGGCAGGAAAATAACATGCTTTCCTTCCAAATACAATCCTCATTGACAAGCTTTCACAATGAACATTCACTGCCATCTTTTTGCATAGTCATACGTCTGTCGTGTCACCTAGCTCAATGCCATTTGACTTTGCATTGAGCAACACCGTAAGAGAAAAAATGTTCAGTTTATCTCACCTTTTGAGAAGAACCCCTTCGGCTGCTGTTGTCTTCTGCAGTTCTTCCAGCTCCTTGGAGAACTTGGTGACCTTGGGCAGCTGTCTGCTGGTCATGATACTCAGCTGTCCTAACAGCTGCTCAATCTCATTCACAGACTCGTACAGCTTTTCTGGAACATAGGGAACAAGTTTTTCTCATATTAGGGGGCACTGTCATTTCCATCCGGGCTTTTCCAAGAAATATCGTAGAGTGGAACTCACTGCCACTAAGTACAGTTGGGGCCGGCATCATCACTAGAAAGCTTTATCTTAAACAACTCCTGGAGTTAGATGTGCAAAGGTTGAGTGTAACAGGTTATTTGGTGTAATATAGCTATCTGCTAGCACACCGCATGCCTGCAAAGCTAGTGTATTACTGGCTATACAGAATTATTACAGATACAAAATGTAAAAGTACAGACATATCTGACATGAAATGCATTGAGAAAATCAAACTATACAATTAAATTTACCCAACAATGTCACCATCAAAACCATGGCCTCTTGAATTGTCTACTTTGTAAATTCTCTTAATACTATGGAAATCATGGCATAGCTGACATCAAATTGTAACTACATGTACCTATCTACTTAAATCACCATGTAAAACACCATGAATGTACAATGTAGGTGTGTGCTTTTTTATGTGGAACATAATTGGTTATAAAGCTACTTACTGATATAATCCTCATTATCCACATCATCGGATACAGAAATGGTTGCCAGGTGGTGCCGAGTGGTATCCAAGGCGTGGGCAAACTCACTGTAGTCCTGTTGCATCTTGGGAGCACTGTCTACAAGTGGCTGCAATGCCGCCTCCTGTCAACAGGTGGAGCCACACAAACAGGTTTATAAAAGAACAATTGTTCAGAAGGATGAATTTCAAACTCCTATGATTTTTCCATCCATTTCATTCATCTCTGCTTGTTGTCATATGCAAAATACATCAAATTGCACCAGAAACATATCACCCCGACCATTCAGCCTATAAGAATTATTATGATCATATAAAAAAAACTGTTCAGAAACATTGCCATTATTTCTTTTATACTTCATTGGTGGTAACGGTCAAAGCAGCAATTAAAATTCCACATACACCTACACGTATATATAAACCCAATACTTGGATCAGTTCAGGTTAGGCATCAGAAATACCTGCACAGCTCCAATTTTACATGCACTAAGGTGCATATGCACACAGTATTTCTAGTAACAAATTTCAAGTAACAAATCTTTACTCTCTAAGCAGAGGTTGCGGGGAATGATTGTTAGCTTTTTATATACGGCTTTTTATATTGTCACTACCCCTACCAACGTCGGTGGTCGGCAACCTTCTCTGGCCAGTGGATACTGCCTGGCCAATTTGATACTGTCTTGTTGCCACCAAAAGGGATCTGCTTGGAGATTAACAAATCTTTACATATAGATCTTTCCAACTGTACCTGCAGCTTTAGGAGTCTGTCCAAAAGGTTCTGGTACTTCAGACAGTGGATACGCTGCTTTCCTTCTGTGATCTTCTTCCTCAGATCTTCATTCTTCTCCCACAGGGCATAGCAGTATTGCTAGAACATGTGAAGAAGAAATGACTTATAGAGAATGGAACATTGGTCAATGTTTTACCTACTGATTCATAAAATCAATTTGAAGAAACGACATTACGATTAATTAGGATATTCCAGACAAGAAGCTGCCAGGAGTTTTAGGAACAAGGATAAGAAACAATACTCACTGATGACTGTTTCTCCTTCTCCTTGAGATCTTTTTCCATCTGAAAATTATACGTCAAAAGGTCAACAATACTAACCCTGCCACCAAAGGTCAACAATACTAATAAAGAAGAGTCACTGGGAGGCAAATTTCACAAATTTTCTCAATGTTACGTGTACTGCTCCAATGTTAAAAATGCCACCATGGAGACTAGTTTCTCACCTTGGAGCTGATGTACAGCCACTGTAGGTACCTGATGTACCACAGGTCCAGCTGATGTTGGGTTACCTCAGTACTACTGGCCTGCTCAGGGAGAAAACAAACAGATCTGATCTACATCTAGCTGTTATAGCCTCCATAACATGCCAAAAACTGGGGGTTTGGGGGGTCTTCAGGGTCTTTCGGAGCTTTTATGTGCTATTTTCTGATTGCAAAGACAACATAGGCAGCCTGGTTGAAATACCCCCGTTTTTAGAACTGGGCTAATCAGAAAACAGCCAAAGACCCAGTTCTATAAGCCTGCTACGGAGGCTATATCTGTTGATCATTCAGCACTGGACCTCCGGTATCCTCTGTACAATAGATTATTCACATCCAAACAATAGTAAGTACATTGTATATCTGTTAACATTTATATTCATATAAATTTCAAGTCACCATGTTAGATTTAAAGAAGCCTACCTTCTTCTTAGGCTTCCCTTTTGATGCAGAAGTAGATGTAGAGGGTGCTGGGAAGAGAATGGAACATGTTAAAATCACTTGAGTAGCTCTAAACAATGACCAAATCTTTAACAGTTACATGTAAATGGTCAACCAGTGTTCTACCTATGACCAACTCATTATAATAACTGGAAAATGTGAAAAGAGTAAATGGTGCCTCTTTTCAGAGAACCTATGACTCGATGTATAAAACATTGTCAAATGTTCATTCATTCATTCATTCATTCATTCATTCATTCCTATGAAGTGTTATAAAAAGAAGTGTCATGCCTTCTTTCCTATGTAATGTTATAACAAATATATTAAGATATGTCTGACCGACTAGTATGCTGTCTGCGGTGGGGATGGCTGAGATGTCCCCCAGGGTCATGGAGGGGGTGTGGGGATGTGCCCCACCCATGGGGGTTGATGCTGCCCTCTTACTGCCAGTAACAACAGGTGTGGAGGTCGTCGACCTCTTGCTTCCAGCAATTATAGGTGTTGAGCCGTGTTCTGATGCCTTCTTCACGGATTTCTCTCTATGTGGTGAACAATACAAAAACATGTACATGTCTATTCAGGACAGTTTTATTTCTGAAAATAGAGACTATGTACTATGTACTATATACTATGTAGAGAGTATGTACTATTGTTGCCTTTAAAGGGTTATGAACCTGGTAAACAACATTACAAAATAATTTACTATAAGTAGTTGTAGTAACAAACATCCACAAGAAATTGTTGTCCAAGCAACTGGATAGGTTTTGAAAACTGACAGACATTTAAAGTAGCATTTGTGACGAAAGGTAGTGGATGCTACTTGAAACAACTGACAGGAACAATTTTTTGTGTACCTCATTGCCTGGATGTCTAACATTCATCAACATACTAGAAAGATCATCTTATTTTTTGTGATTTGCCAAATTGAGATTCTTCTATTACAAAGACAAGGTAAAAACAGTGTTTATAAAACAATTATTCCAAACAAAAAAAGTTAGCAAATGTAGAATGAACCCCTTGATTTTCAAAACATGACAAATTTGTCATGACAAACTCCCTGAATACCAGTTTGACAGAATTACTTCCTTGCATATGTTAGTACAACTGTAGTTACTGTATATATTAGTGGGTTCCTACCTGTTAAAGGATGAACTCTGGGCTACCTTCCTCTTAGCTGGAGCACTTGTTGGTCTGGTGGGGGCTGGTTTAGGGGTTTGAACAGTGGAGGACTGGGTACTCTGGAGAAGAACAATCAAACAAACACATCAAGCTATAGTAAAACGTTAAACTTTAATAATGACAATGATGGATATACATCAAGCTATATTACATGTATATCCATCAGTATGTAATAGTTGTAGTGTAGCACTTCTGTAGAATTTAAGTGTCTATACAAGTCATGTGAAACTACATGTACTGCACTTAGCCCTCATGGGCATGAATGTGCAAATAAATGTCATTGTCATTATATTATTATGTAGTCTTCCTTTTTTCTCATTTTATTGTATACTACTCTTAAGACTTGGTAAACATATAAATATATTACTAGTACACCATGAAATTGGAGGATCTTCAACAATGTTAGCCTCTGTGCAAAGTTTGAATTCAGTACAAATCACAAATCTTGGTTTCATTCTGATGAAAATAGTCACGAAAGTGGATTTCATACTGGGTGATTTTAACTTTGTACATGTAAGGATGAATTTGCATTTATAGATATTCAAGAACATAAGGGCACTTATGAGTTGTTTATTAATTGACATTGTGTACATGTACTTTGAAATAAATTGACTTCATATATACATGTACATGATTACAGTAAACTTTTTTTATGTTGATACACTCAAAAATATGTGTTCAGGTACCTTTCCAATCTTGGGTTTGTCAGGAAGTACAGCAGCTTTGGCTTTCTGCATGTACCTGGACTCAACAATGATACCTGTAGGGAAGAAGAACAAAATATCTGTCATAGACCTGTAAGATGGCTTGGTTTTAGGAAACACATTGCCTTTGTAAAAAAAAATCAGGGGAGGTGTGAACAAAAGTTGAAAATATGTACTGAATCTAACATATATCATCCCTATAGGCCTAAATCACTAAATTTAAAAAACTCGGTTGTCAAAAACAAGGGAGCAAAAATTTCAAAGGAAAACTCTGTGATGTATCTGATTCTGTACCTTTTGGTTTCTTTTTCTTCTTCACTGGCTGTTCCCTGGATACAATGAGAGGTTGGGTTAATGTCCTCTGCTGTTCAGTTCAAAGAAACTTGTGTCATCAACGAACAGAATGCTCAACTTCAACTTGCAATAAAATTTATTCAGAATTTTACGAAGGTACCTTTGTGAATTTGTGACACTAACAGCAGATAATCCTCCTTCATCTTTCACAGAATCTAAAATGGGAGAAAAAAAAACAGTTTAGTAATTGGATTAAAAAGACCAGACCATGTCATCACTATTTTGCAGTTACAGTTGACTTCAGATCCACATCTTTACAACTTGTAAGTTTTCTTAAAGTGTTCAATAGCAGTCTAGTCTCTATGGAATCCCCATTTTACCATGTTGTGCCTGTTGTCTGATTTTTGGTCTGGTGGACAGAGTGTCTGTGTCCCTGACTGGAACCTCGTCTGTGTCTGCTGCTGAAACCTCCACGGGACGGGATGAAGAGAATGGATCAACAGCACTTCCTGTGGAGTTACAACAAAACTGCAGGTAGAACATGCAGGGCCATTCAAAAGTTACAGGTGAAAGCTTGCAAATGCAATTCTTCCTTTACAAATCTAAAGATATAATACATACAGCAGATTTTCCACCAACTACTGTAAGTCTACAAATTTCCGCGGTATATTTAGATTCGCGGAATTCGCGGGGACCTTTGTACCGCGAATCTATTTCCCCGCGGATATGTTTTGCGTAAGTGTAAGTGTGCCCCCCTCCCCACATGCATTCCCGACGGACTTCGAGTTTACGCGAAACACAAACGCGATCCGCAAATCACCGCAAATCAACTTTATTCTTGGCAAATGTACGTAGTTGAGTACTGTATCAAAATTATTAAAGTTAAACTGTTACTGTACAGTAATAGTATTATGAGAGACAACGAATCGCGATAGCCCTGGCCGTGTCAACCTCGTACCACCCGACAAAAATATTCGCCCGGCAGAGCGCCGGCCATGCGTGCGGGCGCTGAAATGCGGGCGCATCGGGGATATCTACAAATATTTTGACGAAAAATATAACATTGGGTACCTGGGAAATGTTACTTGGTTCTCTTTTGCTGGAGTTTTTTTTTCTCGTTTTGATGGGTAGAAACGCTAGCGTGCGTGGTGTAACGTTAACTACAAGAAGGCCACCTTGGGACACTTCCGCATTCATCGAACGCCAAAATTTCACCGAATACGCCATAAATTGCCATATCAATACATGTTCTGCCGAAAGATTCTTTTCTTTATACATTTCTTTACTAGATCATCGATGTGTAGTCGTGGAAAATAGCGTTTTAGCGCTTATTTCCGAACAAAGAAAATTGTTTACACGGGCTTCAGATCGATTGAACTTTACCGCCGGCACTGACGAAACAACCAATCAGAGACGCGTAGCGCGGACACGTGAGGCAAGATTTGCATACCGACAGAACATGCAGGCAGTGTGGCGCAGAGCACGAAACAAATTTTTGCTCCGCATGTTAGGAGATAAATGCCGGGACACGAACTTAAAAAAAAAATATGCACTTTACAAGTTCTTTTTTTTCTTGAATAGCCAAGGAGAAATCGCGAATCTAAAAATACCGCGGATTGCCCATTTTCCCGAAACCGCGAACTTTAGGCCCCGCGAATCTAAAGAGACTTACAGTACTTTGGTACGTTGAACAATTATAAAACCTGTCACCTATGTAGATGCTACTTTAGTGGATAATAAGAATATTATTCACACCTGCAATGTCCTTTTCTCTGATGACCAGAGGGATCTTGTATCTGGGGACAGACTGCTGAAGTTCTGTTACACCCATGGTGTGATCAGTGTCCCCCTCTAGCAGCACTGATGGTACTGCATCTACGGTAACCTTTGCAGTCTGCCGGGGGTCACCAGTATTTCTGGAAAAAAAAAAGGAAACAGTGCTCATGTTGCTGCCAACAGTACAGTGTTTAGGAAGGGTTTCATTATTTACCTCATAAGAATCAAAATTAAACCTTCTTACTAGAATACAGGATCACCATGAAGAAGCAAATCTTGCAATAAAAACATATCTTGTAAACACATCTACTGTATTGCTTTGGGCTAATATACATTATTACAAGTATACATCTAATAAAAAGGTTTCCATTGTTAATTTTGTTCAAATGTTTGGATGCATGCAGCTAAAGAGCTAGCTGTGTTTATGTCCTATTCAGTCCAATCTCTTTCAGATTGAGTAGTGAATCATTGGCTATTAGTATTAACATATATATAATTAGGCCACACCAATTTAATTTGTTGGTTCTCGGATTCGCCTCTTCGTTTTTTTCTGATTTGCAAAAAAAAAAAATTCATTCTGGTCCTGAATCAACTGAAAAATGCTCATGTTTTGCCCCCAACAGTTGAGGAAAGTCCTTTTCTTCCTAGTTGTTACAGTTTTCCCATCTATCATTGCAGTGGTTTGATTAAAAGTTCAAAATTCAATGTTTAAATTTTAACCCAGCCTTTTGTGTTGACTTCATGGCTCATTCCATAGCATTTAAGCCTATAATAGGATGCCTAGACCTGTTTTTATTTTTATTTTTTTTTCGCCCAGTCGCTTCATATTTTTTCTGAAAAAATCCGAGAACCAACAAATCAAATTGGTGTGGCCTTATAAAGAAAAAAAAGGACACTGATAGTCATTTTCTACTGCAAATGACTACCATCACAATATCTTAATCAGTCCTAAACCAAACTAAAACAGCTGACAGAGAACCCACCTGAGGTCAGACTGGACAGCTGCAGGGGTGTGACACACCACCTTGATGGGAGACTGGACAACAGACGTCACAATGTCCACCTCTGTGTTCTCTGGACTCTTGGGACCTCGACTGGCATCCACGTACAACACCGGGGCCGAGTCTTTACTCTGTGATAGAAAATATAATATTCTGGTTACATAAAATTCCTCTATTGCCAGTATTGGTATGTTGTAAGAATCATCATACAGATTTCTGTTTTCTATGTTGTATTCACAAACAGGTGCAAGAACATTCAGTATAATAGAATTCATTCATCAAGCTATTGAACTGAACATCTATCACACCGCAGTCATCCCTCAGTAAGACATCTGAACCAAAGCCGCATAGTTCCTCTTTACTACATGTAGTAGAACTTTAACTCACGTAAAGAATCGTCCTACAGACTGCTGTTTTCTATGTTGTATTTACAAACAGGTGCAAGAACATTCAGTATAAGAGTAGAGTAGATTCATTCATCAAGCTAACCGACATCTATCACACTACAGTTATCTCTTTGCAAGATATCTGGAGCGTAGTGGAGCCTCATAATTCCAGTTTACAACTAGTAGTAGAACTTTTATTCAGCCTGTCACATATAGAATCCTCCTACAGATTGCTACTTGCTATCAGTCTACATTGTACATCAACATGTATGTGCATTGTGCAAGAACATTTCATAGTCATAACCTGACCCTTACCTCTTCCTTCATGACCTCAATAAAAAGAAGCCATCAGGCTGATTTGAGCTATCATGACTAAATAATGGTTCAAACAAACAAACCTTCTCCATGCTGCCTTACCCCATAACCAATACAAATTTGGTACAACGTCAGATGTGGTTAGGTTAAAACCCCAGCATTTCACCTCTCCAATATAACATGTTAAAAAAAACTTCCACAGTTACCTGTGTTGAGGCATTTCCCCCACTGGAGGACTCCAGGTCTGACACAGCCAGCTCATCTGTCAGGGTGGGCTTGGGGCGGGCGGGGGACATGCTGCCTCTGGGGGGATTCCTGGACAGGTGACAGAGGGGTACGATAGGCTCATCAGATTAATGAGAACATCTCAGCGTGTTATAACAAACACCGTATTAGACAATACAGTCTAGTGTAATATTCTATGATGGCAATAGCATTATATAGCATCAGATTACAATATATTGAAGCTGATCTTATACTCTCAAAGACTGACACTGTGACTGCTACTACGAGTAGTACATTGTAGACAAGCCTGGAGACAGCTGTCCATCCTCACATCTACCTTGTCCCCCCAATGACCAGGAGGTCTAGGGACTAAGTAGGCAGTATATATGCCAAAAAAAGTCACTCAAGGAACTTAAGATGATTTTGGAATTCATGTATATAGATTCCATTCATATACAGTAGTCACAGTGATCCGTAACCATTTCAACTGTAAAACTGCACAGAAATGCAGCATTGTGGACTAGACACTACCTTGCATCTGGGGTGGAAATTTGTAAGGTTATATTTTAGGACTGGAATGCTATAACTTGTACAAATCAGGGCTCAAAATTAAAGGTGATCCAGTGGCCACAGACCACTAAAATTTAGGCCAGGCCAACTAAAAAGACACTTTGGGACAATTGTAGAAAAATAATTAGAATGTCAGCCCTTCTTTTGTTTATCAGGCACTCGTCCCGGCTTTTGGATCCGGAAAATTCCCCCCAAATTTCCCGGCTTTTGGATCCGGAAAATTCCCTTCAAATTTCCTGTCTACTCTGCAATAATAGTGTGCCTGGGAGTGAACACAAGCAAAATAATGTTGACTTCATGTTGAAGTCATACGACTTCCCAAAAACATATTGGGACAGTTCATCCACAATTGAAATTTATTTTTGGGACAGTGCTGGGAAAATAGGAAGAAAAGTGAAATGTGAATGAATACTTTAGTATGTCTGCTGAGTGTTGAAAGTCGAAACCTGCTAGGGAAAATCCATTAGAATTTATGTCTTAAAATAAACCATTGTTAATGTTATATTTGCCATACTTCCTGGGTGTACTGGAGATGTCTTCCCCAATGGTTTCATCTGGGACTGCTCCTGACTGTCTGTATGACATTACCGCTCCTCTTGTGACGTCCAGAGTATCTCTTAAGCCTGCAGTCTGAGCTGAAATGGGAAAGACGTTCTTTGACTAAAAATAGTCTTTCTTGTTGAGAAATCAAAACAAACACTACACACTCACCTGTAATTTTATTTTCCTCTTTTTCCTTGACTAAATGCAAACTATTATTACTTATCAGGGCTCGAATTTTTTTTTTTTGTATACTAGTTGTAGTACTTGTACTCCAGGTAACATTAAAATTACCTGCACCAAACAAATTTTACCTTCGCCACTTAGAATTTAGAAAGTGTGCATCATACTAGAAGCTGTTCAAAACTATCATTTCTTTTATTCTTCATACGTGGTAACAGCCAATTCAAGAACCAAATAACTGTTAACTTACATGGCTCAGGTTACGTGCATGTAGGCATCAGTAATACCTGCACGACACCAAGTTTACCTGCACTTATTATAACCTGCATATGCATCCAGTATTTCGGAGACCTGCTTTGATGAATAGAGTCAGTAGTATCTTAAAGGCTACAAAAAATTATGTTCAGCTAAAATGTTTTACCTTGTGCTAGTTGCTCCTGTGGTACATTCGGGGCAGCTGTGACCGGTTCAGCTGTAGCCAGACGACCTTGTGCCAGGGGTCTACAGAACACAGGTGGACAGGAAAAATACATGCAGTTTTACTAACGTCAACGTAAACGTATATGCATGGAGAAAACATACATAGAGAGAAATTTGCAAGCTCCCCTCTGACGCAGTAACGGTTACCGATCTAAAATCTCAAGAAAACGGTGTAGAAAATTTATATCCTTTCTTGTTAAGAGTCTCTAGTTTCTATATCGCCATAATTTTGCATGAAAGGAATAGACCTAGAAGTTCAGAACTTACAAGCACCCCTAGTCTACCTACCGATCCAAAATCTCTTGCAAGAAAACGGTGCAAAAAAAAACAACACATGCATGAAGGAAAATGCCTTGCAAGCTCCAGCTCCCCTCTTTCCCTACCGACCTAGAATCTCAAGAATACGGTGTAAAAAAGCATCGCGTCTTGTTAAGAGTCCCTGCTATAGCCAGTGCCCCTCATGTGTAGTGTAGATGCCTCCTTACCTCCTGTGTTTAGTCCCAGGACCTCTCTCCTCCGGAGCGGGTTTGTACAAACTCCGTTTGGACGCCATCTTTGATTCTCCCGCCTAGACCTCTGGGCGAACTTTGACCTTTCGCCACGCCCAAAAGCAAATTTCAAGCAGATGTTGGGTTGGATGATCGTAGCCGATTTCTCTGCTTCTCCGTCACGGACTAAAAGTGTAATACTTTCTAAGCACAGGCTACCTTTCTTCCTCTTTATAAGTTATACGGGTAAATGGATTTCCCGTTAAGATTGATCTCCATAGATGAAACTTTTAAGGGTAGTTACTTAGGACCACTGATGAGTAATATAGGCCTCGAGGTCTCCTTCGAATTCACAGTTTGGGGCGTCCAATCAGGTGCCCTTGCCTTGGTTTGGACCATAATACATGTCAACTTACTCATCCTTCCTCTCTCGAAAAGCTGGAAACTGTGAGCCATTGTAACTATAACGTTAGATTAATTAGAGAAATACCGAAAGAGAACTTACTGTATGAAGCTCTGTTAGTGCAACAAGACTTACACCGATGTAAAATACCATGCTGGATGTCAAATATTACTAGAATACTCGAGGAGTCAGGTTTTGCCCACCTTTTACCCCAAAAAGACAGAAACACATCATCTGTCATTGTCATTGTCATTCATTCCATTAGGCCATATGTTGACTGGATCCCGAAACTGATGTGCGAATAAAAAAACGTTTGCCTACAAAAGTGGTCCTAAAGGTTGAATAAATTACCAAACACAAAGAGTATGGTATGACGAATGATAATAGACTATGATTTTATTTTTATATTTCTTCACATTTTCTTCTTTTCCTGGGCTGTGATTTTGGCATTCTACGACATAAGTATCATATTCTTTTTTCCAATATACAGCATATATTTGCTCATTTGCAGCTTCTTTGTACGATTTTAAGTGTTGTCGAAACTTGGGGGGCGTATGACATCCATATATTAATCAAATCAACATTAACGCTACTTTGGCGACCACTTTCATTCTTTTCCAGTCTACCTCTTCGGCAGGCAAGTCGAGAAAACACGTGTAAAGGCTTCAAAAATGTAGCTTAACCGATCCAAATTCAACGAGTATATAAGTTCCTGCGCTTTTTAAAATGCTAACTTCGGACGCGTACGGAAGAAAAGTCAAGGCATATAATATACACCTTGGAGGAGAAGGCGCCGGAACGGATGCACCAAGTTGTTCTTATCTTTGAACAGTTGAGGACCGCCGAGCTCGTGTTCTCAGTCTTGTGGTTCATACCGGCGGCATTTAATACAGCAATCTTTAGCGATCGAAGTTGTAACCATTGTATTAGCCAACAATATGTATCAAACCCCACCAGGCTTATTAAAAATCATATATTTATCACATGTACAACTATCTACTTTGATCATAATTCTTCTCATTTTTACTCTTAGTTGGTTGACTGAGTGCATGCCACCGTCCTTGTGGGAAAAATGATTGATGAATGCTGCTGTGTTAATTTTTAATTTTATTGTTAAAATTTTGTGCATGGCCAACCAAGCATATGCATTATATATGCAGTGTTTACCCATCTAAATGTATGCCCCGCCCTCAAACTGCTAGGTTGGCCAAAGTACAACTTTATTTACAGTCTGCCTGATCAAGTACGTGCAGAACGACTATCTAGAAACTTCTGCACCAGGCGCGCAAGATGGCTGCGTTTGGATGTCCTGTTCGTCTTACCCTCTTGATTCTCATTTTCTACCTTTTTGTTCTCAGGTGAGCTCTAAAATAATTGGTTGAAAGTTTTCAAAGTCTAGAAGCACATGTTGTTATTTCTTATATCATATCTAGGAGGTTTTGTCTCTAGAATATGAGCTGCGTAACAATGAGGAAGCAATGTTGTTTACTTCCTCCTGGCCGTGAATAAGTTCTAGCACATTAAAACATTGTTGTTCTAGCACGTCTTTACAACTCGATAAATTTCCTTCACAAAGTTCCTCGAGCTCGCCATGCATCTGTTCGTGTGACAGCTGGGGATCATGGAGTTCCTGCTCTGATCCATGCGGAAATGCAGGTAACCTAGAAATTAAAAAAAAACTAGAGTTTGTGGAACACATGCTTCATATGCAATATGAATGTGCAATTTTCTTTGTCTAGATTATCTGTATAATCGCAACCATGACCAATATTTTCACATTTCAGTCTAAATTGTGTGTCTGTAATCTTTCTTGGGTGTCCATACATTTATGATTGATTCTTTTCGCTGCCTTGCCTTGCCTAGTGTTGGAAACGGCTTTTCGGATGCTTGCCATAAAAGTCCGAAAAGCTTTCCAACGCAGACTTTATCAGAAAACCATCTAGTTAGAGCTAAAATTGTACCTTTGCGACGTCTAAACAGACCATGATGGGTTCAATAACTATCTGTACAGAATTTATGAATCATTTGTGCGTAAAATATTTTACCATTTCTACGCAAATACATTCAAGGAAATATGTGCTAATTATTATGGGTTCACCACACCACCATATTGCTTTTTCTGATGTTTCTTCTCCTTCTTCTTCTCCTCCTCCTTCTCCTGCCATTTTTTAAATGGATTCAGCTTCTTCATTTTAGGGCCTAAGGTCCTGAAATTTGGTATGGAGGTACAGTGGGCAAATACCCCTAGGCGTTTTTTAAATTATTGTGATACAGGCTTTTAGAATGGTTTTATTTGAGTTTTTTGGCTGTGTTATAGCAAATGTATTACTGTGTTAGTTTGCCTTGTTTACCACGTTTGGGCATGAGTCATCACAATGGAATGCAGGGCATCAACCAATAGGCATGCAGCTTTCCTCTATACTTCTTGCTGATTGGCTGTTGGGATTTAACTTGATTAACACCTGCACAGAAGCATTTCCATACTGACAGTATGTCTGTATTCAAGTGTTTTGGTAGGTATTTCAAGCTTTCCTGCTCCAGCATTGGAATGCCGGGCATGGACGTTTTTTTTTTATTTTGAAAATCAACAGTTTGCATTATGCAATTAAAAATCCTAACCAATAAAGTAGGGAATAGCTATCCAACTGTTGTTTTAGTTGTATTTTACTTCATATTATAGTTATATCAATGTAAATCATTGTTTTCCCTTGTGTTTCTCATTCTTTCCCTGCCATGTGGTAAAATGTGGTGAACCCATCGCTGTATTTGCTCCAAAGCAAATATTGGCCTTTCTAGTGTAAAATTGGGTCCTCTCGAGACGACCGCAAAGGGCAAAAAAGCAAGAAAGGGAAAAACGTCCGGATGATACCGTAACGTTAGTACACAGCGCGAAAGGTTGGATTTACAAAAGGTAGCTAACTCAGGTAATGTTTACTTGGGTTGGGTGAAAGAAAAATTCCAGTGCAAAAAAGAAACCCCGAGAAAAAATTCTAAAAACACGACAAAAATAACCCAAAACCCAAACCTCTGCTTGCAGAGTAATTTTTGGCGTGCTTTTAGGCGTTTTATAGGGATGTCTCAAGTGCCACTCTCTTCGTTTTCACCAGTCAAAATATGGTGGTGTATTGATATAGTCTTTCGAGACTGGACTGCCAATGACATCGCCGATGATTGAATACTGCCCCACCAACAGTACAATATTTACATATCTACACATACGCGTGGTAACGTGGTTACAGGGTTACTGTATCTACACCTGTGCAATGTGAACCAGTCAGAATTGTCCTGAGGAAGGTGACAGACGGTCACCGAAACGTCGGCTGAATAAAAGACTTGGTTGTGTAAAAAGAGCCTCTTTACTCAAGGGATCGAAACGCCCACCCTTCCTCCGCCTCCTGACTGAGGGCGGCATGCCTCCTGAAGACTTGATCACTGTGTACACGGCCCTTGTAATTAGAATACACTTGATTATTGTGTACACGACCCTAGTAATTAGAATACAGATTTACGATTGGTCGTTAATGTTTACTTTGTATATAGTACCTGGCTTTACATTGGTAGTAAATAAAAGTCCGGTAATTTCATTTACAACCCTTGCTCATTGTACTTGACTTTTATTTACTACTATTATAAAGTCCAGTAGAGTTCATAAAAAAAAACAAAGTAAACACTACACATTTTAATGTTATTTACTGCCATTGGTAAATCTATGCGGTTTTCGTGCAGTGGTTTTATGACGTTTGCATACTGTATTGGAATATACAGTATGCAAATGTTGTATCGGGCAATTTTATCCTAGTGGGAATGAGGCCTAATAAACGCTCTCAAAGCTGTGCAGAAACGACAGATTTGTTATACACTGTAAATTAGCAATACTTCAGATCACGGTCTGCCAAATTCTAGTAAAGTTCTCAATATGATGATGAAGTAAAAATACATGTATATGTAGCGCCTTGTCTTCAGCATGCAGTCCACGTGCAATTGGATTTTGGACTCTAGTAATTAGTTGGATTTTTATTTTATTTTAGGCAATACATTGGCCACCCAGGCAGCATGGCTAATATCGGGTGCCGAAAGATACACAAAAATACACAATGGCCCACTTTACACACACCATTTCTAAGTCGACTCAGCGAAGTCGACTTGAAAAATTTCTGTTTACACACGGGGCCGCAAAGCGACTTGGCACTCCCGCTGTGCCACCCTCCCCCAAGTCAACTCGGTGGCTCGGTCTTGCCTGACTACTACGCCGGAGACGCTCAAGTCGACTTCGCCCGTTTACACACGCAAAGCTAGCGGACTCGGCACCAACTTAAGTCTGGTTTGGATACGACTCAAGTCGTCTTTATTAGAATGCGACTTGAGTTGAATTATTTCTCTTTACACTGGGAAATTTTCGCTCAAGTCAACTAGCTAAAGTAGTTTTGAGTTCTAGTCGCCTTGAAAAAGTTATGTGTAAAGCAGGCCAATATAACTTATTGATAGGCTAACAAGTACCACATTAGGCTAAGATCCATCAATTAAAAATATGAAATTTCAACACACGGTCACAACCCGACGTACGTGCTTCTGTGTGCTGTCTACGTGCAAAAACGTGGGCAAACGTAGGGCATCCGTGAGTGGTGAGTACCGCCTCCGTACGGAATCCTACGGATTTGGGAGTACGCAGACACGCCGTAGAACTTTAAGTGCATGTAAAACTTTTTCTACTGCGGATTCACCACCCGTGCGTGCGAGTACGAGCGACGCGCGTGCCCCGTACGGCCTCCTTACGGTAAAGTTGCAATCGTACAGAGATCGTACGTTGTAAGCACGTACAACTCACTTACCACTTGCCCAACGAAGGATGCACGCAACCGTTCACGGCCAGACTTGGCGTGCAGACCACACTCTTACACTTTGCGCAACCGTGCGAGTGACGTTCGAGTGACGTGCGTAGACGCCACTCCTTCCCCACGTTTTCATTAAAAAACGTAGCAGACGTAGCCTCCAAAAAACGTACGGGGAAAAAGCACGTACGGTGGGTTGTGACCGAGGCTTCAAGTACAAGGCTTCCTATAAAAGTATTCAAACAAGATAATGATAATATACAGTTTTGGAGGTCAGAGATCATAAACAATAATACAATATGTGAGGAAAATATATGTAACGCATGATCATATGATGTCATCTTATGTGGTATCACTGGAAGGCCCATCAAAACGTTTTGTGGCGGAAATAAATCTTTCAAGTGCTTCAAATAGTTGTTTGTGTGAATGATACAGCCTGGTAGCCCCTGTAGTAGAACAGATTCGGTTAGACGGCGTGGTGTGAGTTGCTCTACTGTGGAGGCTAAAATGTGAAGCTGGTGGCTGTAGAGTGGACAGCGTAGAGTTGGATAATGACCTTGATTTGATTGCTTAGTATTTATTGTGGAGCAACTCTCCTTTATATTAGCTGCCCATCCATCAGTGAGAAGCTATTTCTTACAGGAGAGGGTGAAGTGCATAAGATTATTACAATTGATGATTTTGTTTTGTTAATTTGCTTAGGTTTTTGCCTTTGTTGCATTTATTTACCTTCAATTTTACCTTCAATTTACCTTAGCCAAGAAGGTTATGTTTTCAGAGGCGTTCGTGTGTGCACTACGGTGCGTGTTGGTAGGTGGGTAGGTCTGGATGATATTATGAATTGACCTCGAAATTTTGGACCCCCTAGCGGCTTGTTATGGTACTGCAGCTGAATTTCCAGTTTCGATATCTCATGATCTAGACATGCTAGGGTCACGAAATTTGGATGGTAGGTAGCTCTTGTGCTGGGGAGGAATTGACGTATGCGCCCATGGTAGCTTGCTCGGGAACTACAGGGGCGTTTGTAGGAAAATATTTAAAGGATGATAACTCAAGAACCGATTGATGGTCGTCATCATTTTTGGTATGTAGGTAGCTTAAGTGATGCTTGACATAATTAGATGACAAATATGCAAATCAGGATCTAAATTACATAATTAATGACGAAGTTCTATAAATCTGCTTCGTTCCATGACAGGACAATTCAAACTTGTGACAGAACCGGAACATTGGCAGGTGTTATTTACGTACATTTTGGCCCAATTTGCATAATCTATGAGAAATTTTGATTGCATACTGATAAATGGCAGAAATTTCACACTTGCGGCATTTGGAAGTCAAGTCAACATGAACATCATCAAACATAACTTATTCAATTTACGACCTCATTTGCATAATTATGAGGAAATGCTAGAATAGCTTTCTTTGTCATTGGGTGGAGAATATGAACAATTGATATACTAGTAATTCATAAAAATGGAAATGGTGATTTTATTTTCATATTCAATGAGAATTCATCATTTATAATTCGTCGATCATACAGGTTAACATTGGCGAAGGTATGAGGTCGTGGTACTCTTGTTATATAAGTAAGATTACGATTTGATTAAAATGAATGAAAACAGGACTTTTGATTCCAACGTACACCGTTGACACTTTTGATGTTTTCCACCAACTTTCAGGCACTAGGAGCCGTAACCGTACTGGTTCATGCTGTAACTGCACGGATACACAAACGCAGCCATGCAACCGGTTCTGCTACAACAGCGGTACTCCATCCGGTAACGGCTGCCTCTGTACCTCACAGTACGAGGGGCGATGCTGCGATGTCGACAAACCCCTAGGAGTCGGAGGTAATACATTCAAAATCAATAGGTGAGATAGAGGTCAATAAAGAAAACCTCTTGAAACATGATTAAGTGTTGTACGTAGACAACAAAGATGACAACAAAATTGACAAAGGTATAAATCACTTGAATAAACTTAGCACACTATGATATCAACTTGAAGGTAATCATAATTCCAAACATTTGGAACCGCATAATTCCCTATAATGTAACAATGCCTAGGATGTACTTCACAATTACACTACGTTCCGGAATGCATTGTAAACAGTAAAAACTAGCTTAAGATTACAGACGGTCATCGAAACGTCGGCTCTTGAAAAATAAATGGTTGTGATGAAAGGACTTTGCTATTCAATCTTTGCTCTCTCTATACGTAAGCTCTGTTAATATAATTCTGCCTTAGTGGGACGTTCGACTAGATGTGGAGGCACCCTCAGTACTCCTTCTGGAGGCCCAGTGACATCACCAAACTATCCCAGCAACTATGGCAACAATGAAAATTGCCAGTGGTTGATTACTGCACCAGCTGGAAGCACCATAAGTCTGACGTTCGACAGCTTTGATCTTGAAAGCAATTATGACTATCTAACCATCTTCGATGGACCCAGTGATAGTGCCGCACAGTTACTGAGGTAATGCCATAGTTATTATGGGTTCACCACACCACGAAGTGGTGTGGTGAAACCATATTGCTTTTTCTGATGTTTCTTCTTCTTCTTCTTCTCCTCCTTCTTCTCCTGCCATTTTTTAAATGGATTCAGCTTCTTCATTTTAGGGCCTAAGGTCCTGAAATTTGGTATGGAGGTACAGTGGGCAAATACCCCTAGGCGTTTTTTAAATGTTTGTGATACAGGCTTTTAGAATGGTTTTATTTGAGTTTTTTGGCTGTATTATAGCAAATGTATTACTGTGTTAGTGTGCCGTGTTTACCACGTCTGGGCATGAGTCATCACAATGGAATGCAGGGCATCAACCAATAGGCATGCAGCTTTCCTCTATACTTCTTGCTGATTGGCTGTTGGTATTTAACTTGATTAACACCTGCACAGAGCATTTCCATACTGACAGTATGTCTTTATTCAAGTGTTTTGGTAGGTATTTCAAGCTTTTCTGCTCCAGCATTGGAATGCGGGGCATGAACGTTTTTTTTTTTTTTGAAAATCAACAGTTTGCATTATGCAATTAAAAATCCTAACCAATTAAGTAGGGAATAGCTATCCAACTGTTGTTTTAGTTGTATGTTACTTCATATTATAGTTATATCAATGTAAATCATTGTTTTCCCTTGTGTTTCTCATTCTTTCCCTGCCATGTGGTAAAATGTGTGTATGTGTGTGTGTGTGTTATATACATATATACAAGGGTTAAGTAACATTTTGCATAATCAAACCAGAGCAGGCTGTGTGGCAGGCACTAATTATTCATCACATATTCTTGTTGATTTGTTCGTCAACTCTAGGTTATCAGGTTCACCCGTCAACCCAGCTACTACCAGCACATCTAACATGATGTTCATAAAGTTTACATCTAATTGGCATGTCACGAGACGGGGATTCTCGTTCTACTACACGTCAAGTAAGGCCTTCGTTGTGCTGTGCAGTGTGAACTACATTGTCTCCAGAATAAGTGAAGGGGGAAATGACATTATTACAGGAAACCCAGAACATAGAGTCTGACGTTGTTTGTACCGCACGTACATGAATTAGCCGAATACGTGCTCCAAAATAGATTATACGTGGACTGATTGAAAGTTTGGCTAACTAGCTTTCAACCAAACTAAGGCATATAGATAGAGTGCCTTTCGGAGAGTGAATTATTGCACGGGGGTCCAAATAGGAAAGCTATTTTGTGACTAAGCGATTCTGGACATATTGCTCAAGTTCACCGTAAACCGTTGCAAAAATACAAAACCTATAGTTATCATTGTATCCGAAATACGCGTAACTATTTACTGTTCCACTTCAGGTGTGTTCAACTGTGACTTTGAGCTGGGCCTGTGTGGATGGAGACAGGCTCACGACGACAACTTTGACTGGATCCGACACAGTGGATCGACTCCTTCTGACGACACCGGGCCGAGTGCTGACCACACCACTGGAAGTACGAGTATGAGAAGCATTACAAATAGTCCTATCGTATCTTCTGGTACAACGCTTGTCCGCATTTGGACTGAAGAGTTGTACCATGTCAGTTTAGATGTTAGAAGTTACGTTGACAATGTTCAACGTGCTCTTTATCAAATGCGGCACTTTATCAAACGATTTTGCAAAGTCTAAATACAGTTCATCTACTGGGGTGTCTTTGTCCAGACTAGTAGTGACTGCATCAAAGTAACAGAGCAAATTTGTCAGGCAAAATTACCCTGGCAAAAAGCCAAGCTGGCTAGGAAGGATTAGAGAATTTGTGCTGCAGGATACTATCCCTTATGATTGATTCCAATGTTTTGCAGACTACCGAAGTTAAACTCGCTGGTCTATAATTCGACGGTTGTGATTTGCCACCCTTTTTATTCTCGTGACATTAGCTTCCCTCCAGTCTTTTGGAACACATGATTCTTTAGGGGATTTCTCAAAAAATTGCTATTCTTGCTATTCTGTTACTGCAATACTGGTTTCCTATAGCATTGTTGAGTACATTTTATCGGGGCCTGGTGCTTTCCCTGGTTTTAAGTTGTTGAGGTTCTCTCTTACCTTATCCTAGTCAATGTTCACTACCCCCCCCTCTTCCTCTCCTTTGTATGCATCCTGTATTTCTGGAAGTTGGTCGGTCTTTGTTTTCCAGTGTAAAAACTGATACAAAGTATTCAACAATTTTGCAGTTTCTAGGTTCGATGTGACCACTGTCCTTCAGAGGACCCACCGTGTCTTTCGTCATCTTTTCTTGTAAGCATAAAATGATTTTAGAGTCCTCTTTTATAATGTTAGCTAGTTTTTCTTCAAACTTTTACTTATTTCTCTTCACTAGCTTCTTTGTCTTCCATTCCATTTCTTCGTACTTAAATAACTTTTGTACTCATTTGTCTCCTTGTACACTCGATATAGCCTGCGAAACCCAAGCTCGAGCTCCCGGGGGCTCCCTACTTAGTCCGCCACCCAGGATGGCCGGCTGGATGTTGGGCGGCCGGCAAAAGCGATTTAATCAGGCTACACTCGCCACAGTTTTCTTTTTTTTTTCCTGATTTTCCTCAAAAGGTTTCGGTCATCCCACATATGGGTGTTTTTTCGATGGCCTTCATGTTTTCATTGGAATCAATTTCTGTATTCCCTCCTTTATCACAGCGTTTCCTGTATGGTCGTTGGCACGTGTTTGTGTGTGTATGTGTATGTGTATGAGTATGTGTATGTGTGTTCAGTAATCATTTACTCATCATCGGCATCAGGTTGAATGTTGTAAAGTAGTTCCAACTTATCTCAGTATCACTATATCGGACCAATTCACCTCGGCTAGCCATTGATTTAACTCGACCATGTCTGCCTTTTTAAAGTTTGGAATCATTTCCTTGTTTCCCCTTATGATCACTGTTGTAAATAATTCAAATAAAATCATACTGTGATCACTACTGCCAAGCTTCCCAATGTCCTCTACCCCTGAGGCCATGCCATCCTCACTGGTCAATATCAGGTCTATTATGTTCTCTCCCCTTGGAGGCACCAGGGCTTTTTTTTCCAGAAAACAATCATTAGATAACTCAAGGAACTCAGTGCCATCTGTATCTGCGATTGGTATCGGGCCGCTGGCCAATTCCCTTGGTAGCAAAAAGCTGTACGCCCGCATAATATGGTTACCGCTACGGGGGAGTTGAGCCCGAAGGAGTTTGGCCAGCTCTTTACCAGTGCGTTGCCTTTATAATACTGATATTTGCCTTGCCCAGGTGGCTATTATATCTACATCGAGACGTCTTCTGGCTCATCCGGTAGTGTCGCCCGTGTGATTAGTCCTCTCGTTACTACAACAAGTGCCAAGTGTGTCCAGTTCTGGTACCACATGTACGGTAGGGACGTCAACAGGCTCCGGGTGTACATGAAGACTGGCTCATCGCTTGGGAATCCGGTGTGGACTCGGACAGGAGCACAGGGAAACCAGTGGAGGTCTGGGCAGGTAGACATTCCAGCAGGGATATCATTCAATGTGAGTAGAGATTGGTTCCTGTCTGTCTGCATGACTATGAGCCTGTGTGCCCAGCTGTATGCGTTTCCTGTATGGTCGTTGGCACGTATTGAATGTTGTAAATTGATGAACCCTTGTCCTGCGGACTTTTTTTTAAACATCACGTCTTTATCAGGTCATACACCCCTGACGTTTTTGGTCCCTGCCGTGGCATAGTTACTTCCGCTTTCCTTGCGTTTTGCTGCGATGTGGTGCAACCCAACAGGACTAGGGTTTTAAGTGTAATGACCAGAAAACTAATGTACATGACTTGTACTATTTGCCCATAGATTGTGTTTGAAGCAAGTCGGGGATCTGGATATTATGGAGACATCTCGCTGGATGACATCTCTATTGTGGACAATAGCTGCCCACCTGGTAGGTTTGATATCATATAAAGGAAGAAAGCAGTGTTCTTGGAAAGGTAACGCATGGTAAGGGTAACGCATGATCAAACAGCACACTTTTTTAAAATGTACATTTATTTCATTACTTTTTGTACAATCTCAATAACACTTCTGTACATGTGACCCTGATGGGATTTCATTGGGTTAACCCCATGAACAGCTGCACATAGCCATACCATATTGAAAGTAGGTACTGCATTGAGGTGTTTTAGTAGGTATGTCAAACTTTCCTGCACAAGCATTGGAATGCGGGGCATAAATGCTTTTTTATCTTGAAAATCAAGAGTTTGTATTATGCAAATAAAACTGCTAATCAATAATGTAGGGGATAGCTATCCAACTGTTATATTCTTTGTTATTTGTTACTTCATACTATATATTATATCGATGTAAAACATTGTTTTCCCTTGTATTATCCTTCTTTCCCTGGAATGTCGTAAAATGTGGAGAAGCCATGCTGAATTTGCTCCAAAACAAATGTTGGCGTTTCTAGTTTGTATTATTCTTTTTCCTTCCACACGTCCCTTATGGCGTTTCCTCTGAGAATATACGCCTAGGGGTGTCTTTTCATTATTTTATTGATACATGTCTTTAAAAAACGTGATAAGGGAAGTACTATCACCTTCGGCAAGGCGTTTATGTTTTCGGTAGCGTGTATACGGTAGCGTGCTTCGGTAGCGTGTACACATGCGCGCGCGCGTGTGTGTGTGTGTGTGTGCGCGCGCGCGCGTGTGTGTGTGTGCGCGCGCGCGCGCGTAAAGGGTTAAACGGATTTTGAAAATAGGAGTTTGCACTTCAGGCCCATTTAACTGTGACTTTGAGCTGGGCCTGTGTGGATGGAGACAGGCTCACGACGACAACTTCGACTGGAGCCGACACAGTGGATCGACTCCTTCCTCCAGCACCGGGCCGAGTGCTGATCACACCACTGGAAGTAAGTTTTACAATGGTCAAAGGTGGAAGGTGGGGTAATACCGAATTGTCTGAAAGGGTATACTGGAACAGGGAAAACCATTCTTACGTAGTTGACTCTTTACAGCAGGCTCGTCTTCCGGCGTGTGTCTGATCGTCATTAAGTGAAATCGGCTTTAGAGGTTTACCTGTATGAAGGAGCAATCGAAAAGTTTTAGTGCACCCGACCAGTGCACTGTGACGTACGTCGATATTTTCCCTTTTTCCTTTTCACGTACCTTGAATAATAGAAGGGGGAATGATATAAATTGGGGTAGGGGAAGAGATGTCGCGAATGACACCTGTACAAGCGTGTGTATACAATTTACACCCACTCACCCACCCACCCACACCCACAAACACACACACATACACACACATACACACACACACACATAC